CTCCCTCCCAGCCCACGGTGTCAAGGAAAAATTTGACACTTTTTTTCTGGTAGATGTTAATGGACAAGCTCGAACAGCCAGTTGCCTTTTCCATTCATTTTCCACACAGCCCCCTGGGAGGCTGGGAATGAAAGAGCTGATTGTGCCCCCGCAGGTAGGGCGGGAGCGACGGCGGCTCCAGGAGCCCGGCCGGCATCGGCACACCTCGGCTAGGAAAGCTGCAGGGAAGAGCGCCCCGGGGCACAGCCCCCACAGCCCTCAGGCTGTCTGACACCTACATCCCAAGCAACAGAGCCCATCTCGGGGCACACGTTCAGATCCTCGGGGCCTTTGCGAGGTGACAGCGGTGGCAGCACAGCTCCTACATGTCCCTCAGTGTTCCACACCCAGACCAGGTGCAGCCTGCCCAGCACAGGGAGCGTGGCAGGGACAACGGTGTGGTTTCACAGCCTGCAGCAGCAGTGCCAGGGGAAGCAGCCCACCCCAGGCCCTGGCACCGTGGAGGGTCTGACCCAGCCCCGAATCCCCCCGAGGCACAGGAGGCCCCTCTCCTTGCTCAATACCAGGTCTGTGTCTCACAAGCTTTGCTTGGAATAGACAGAGACAGCCTTTTCCAGCCCCACGCGGCCGCTCGCACCACCCTGGCCCTGAATGGCCGCCTTTATGTGGGAGCTGCTGTCACGAGCCACACTCTGGCAACCGCAAACGGCAGCAAATAGCAGAGGGGTTTGTGTTTCCGAGCCGGCTGCAGCACCCTGGCTGACGTGGGCATGGCTGACAGGGGCATGGCTGACGCAGGTACGGCTTCCGTCACACCCAGCCCCCAGCCCAGCCACACAATGGCACCTTGTTCCCTCCCGGAGAATGCAGGAGCTGCTGCGGCCACCCCTCTCCTCTCCTCCAGGCAGGTGAGGTGCAGGACCCCCGCTGGGGGACCCCCTCGTACGTACGCTTCCCACCGCTCCGGAGCAGGTTGCCAAGGCTGATGGAGGCGGCGCCCAGCAGCTCGTTCCTCAGGGTATGGCAGATCCACACCTTCAGCTCCAGGTGGCTCTGAGCCGTGACGTTCCTGCAGAGACCAGAGAAGGGGGCTGTCACTGTGGCCTCATGCCTGCTCCGTGCTTGGGCAGCGGGCAGTGCCAGCTCCAGGGAGCAGAGGGAGGTGGGCAAGGCCATGGGGCAACAGGAGACTCCCCTTCCTGTTGCCCTCCCAACCTGGCTGCCCCTGACAGCATTGTCGTCCAGGGGTAAAAGCTCTGACTGTCCCCAGCCAACGGCCCAGCAGAGCACAGGGAGCCAGCCCTGGCACCAGCTTCACACCAGGGGGTCACACGCACTCACAGGGTGAGGATCTCGTTCCACAGCAGCTCGGAGATGCCCATCTGCTTCCCCGTCTTCTTGGTCTCACTGGGCAGCCCGTCTCCAGCCACCTCCACGTAGCAGTTCATGCGTGCCGGGCGGCTCTGGGCCTTGGGCTTCACAGACACCACTGGGCAGGGACAGCCATGGGGTCAGGGGGAGCCCCCGGCCCTGCTGTCACCCCCCGTCCCATCCCATCCCTGCCAGGTCGGGGGCCAGGACTCACCGTAGCATTGGGAGAGGGGGAGCAGGAAGTGCTTCTCCCGATGGCAGCGATGGCTGCCACCAGCCTGATCACTGCCTGGCCCCCATCTTCAACCCTCCCGAGGGCTGCAGGGGAGTCACTGTCCCCACAGACACCTCCCTACCCCAGGGCACAGGACCACGGTGGAGGCGAGGCGGTGGGGGCACCCCCGGGTCAGCAGTGCCAGGCGGAGGGGCAGAGCCGGGGACAGCTCCGAGGGGATGAGGTTCTGAGATGAGGTTCTGAGGGGACGCGGCTCCGGGTGCCGGGAGCCATCTCGCGGCCACGGGAGCACCGGCGCGGCACTGGCAGGGCCACGGAGCCACGTCCCCACGGCAGCCGGGCGGGGAAGCAGCCCAGCCCAGCCCAGCCCAGCCCAGCCCAGCCCACAGGGCAGTGCCGGGCACCCTAGCTCCTGCTTCCCCTGGGAAGGGCTCCCAGCCCGGGGTGCAGCAGAGCACACACAGACACCATTCCCGGCAGAGGGATTGCCAGCGAGGCAACAGGACCCACCTTTCACGGAGAGCTGGGACTTCTCGCAGAGCGGCCCAGCCCTGGCCCTGCTGGAGCTGGCAGCGGCCATGGCATCACCCCCGGCTGGAAGCACAGAGAGGAGACGCCTCAGCGCTGGGCCGAGGGAGCTGGGGCTGCACTGGGGTCCCAGCCCAGGGCCCAAACACAGCCTGGATGCCACTGAGAGTAACCCACACGGCAGGAGACTGGGCAAGGGATGGGCAACACCCGGGAAACACAGGCTCCCTCTCATTCCTGATAAACCAGCCCTGCATCACAGGCAACACTGTGTCCTTGGGAGAGAAGCCTCCTTTGGGAAAGTAACCCCCTTCAATGGCACTGCCACAAGTCAAGCTGGGCAGTGTCTGTCCTCCAGACACCCCATCTGAACAGTGCAGCTCCCCTGACCGAAAGGCCAGTGCTGATCAGAGGTCAGAGCAGGCACCAAAGCCCTGCCCCACAGACAGCACCTCACAAGCAGCCCACGTGTCACCACACGTGGGATCCCTCAGAAGGGACACAGCAGTGGCAGTGGCAGGACAGAGCAAGATCCTGTCACAGCACAGGGAAATGGCTACATCCCTCAAGGGCAGCCCTGGTCTCATCCTAGAATCCCACAGAATCATTAAGGTTGGAAAAGACCTCCAGGAGCATCGAGCCCAACCTGTGCCCGATCCCCACCTTGTCACCCAGCCCAGAGCACTGAGTGCCACATCCAGTCGTTCCTCGGGCACCTCCAGGGATGAAGACTCCACTACCTGCCTGGGCAGCCCCTTCCAATGCCTGACAATTCTTTCTATGAAGAAATTCCTCCTGAAATCCTACAGGAAAACCCATCCTGTCTACTCTAAACAATGTCAGAGGGGCCTGGGGCTGCAGCTGCTGTGGGCACAGGGCAGGCCCAGCTGCACACCCAGAGCTCGCAGTCCCCCAGTACTCCCACCATTTTCTCCATCCCCGGTGCCGTGTCCCTGTCATGGCACTTCCCCTGCCCCTCCTGCTGCACCTTCCCCTCCGTGTCACCCCCAGGCAGGAAGGACACGCGCTGTGACACCAGGGAGGGTGGCAGGGCACGTGGCCAGGCCTCTGCTGAAACCACGGACCACAGAGCGGAGGGTGAGGTCACACATCACACAGGAGCATGAGGTCCTGAGACCACAAGTCAGCCCTGGGCTCACTGCCTCCTCCTCCTGCCATTCCAGGAGGAGCTGGAGAGGACAGGGGTCAAGGTCATGGCCCAGAGCCCCCAACACAGCAGGGCAGATGGGGCCATTCGCTGCTCACCCTGGGCAGAGCAAAGAGAAGCCTCAACTCTGTCACCCTGGGCAGCAGCAAGGGCTCAGTGGGGTCAAACTCAACCTCCTCCCACAACACTAAAGCCAAGAGTTCCCCCCTGCCTGGCCACAACTGGGGCACCTCCAACCTCTCCCTTCCCCGATCAGGGGAAGCAGAAAAAGGAGAGAAGCATCTCCAACAGGTCCAGCCCCTCTCCCTGTGCTGTAGTTTCCTCCCTGCTCTCTCCCCGCACCCTCATCAGACCGTACCGAGCTCCATCCCATGGGCAAATTCCCCGTGAAATCCCCTCTCCCAGGGTCTCCCCTCTCCATGCCAGCCCCATGCGACTCCCCCAAGCACAGCAAACCTGCTCAGCACCCCAGAGCCTGCCTGTGCCTCATGCAGCCCCCAGCTCTGCCTGGGAATCCTCCTTTGGCATAGCCGGCCGCTGTCCTGGCTCCATTCCACACACCCCGACCCCCAGCCCCTCGCTGAGGGGAGGTCACTCATCACGTTCATTGACTCGCTGTCACACACTTACTCACACTCTATTTCTCCCGGCCCACAGAGTACCCCGACCTGCCCTGAGGATACTGGATATGGCTCATCCTCATGACTGCTGTGACTCCTCAGCCCCGCAATCACACGATTCCAGCGGTGCCATTCCCATGGCACAGGGAGCAGCCGGGCACTGCTCTTGCTGTGCCAGCCCGTGCCCAGCCCCGTCCCGTCTGGGACGCCTCCAACCGTTTTTCTTTCAAATCCTGCCTTTTTTCCCCATTTTCTCTTTTCCCGATTTTACACCGTTTCGCTGTCGCTGGCTCTGACATCCCCGGCCACGTCAAACCCCCACCGGCCCCCAGAGCCCCGCGGTGTCCAGCGCCGTTCCCCAGGCACAGCTTTGCTCTCCCCCGGCCCTTCCCCGCCCCCGCACCCCCACACAGCGGGATCCCGCTTGGAAGGCCGAGGCCTCGTCCCTCCCCGGGGTTCCCGTGTCCGACAGCCCGGCCCGGCCTCCCGGGGACACGGACGGTGCTGCCACTCCCCGCTTACACGGGGTCACCCGCGGGGCCGCTCCGGGAGCAAACACTGCGACCCGCCCCGGGACCGGCCGGTGCCGCTCCACACAGAACTCGGCCGGGCCCGCGGACACCGCACAGGGAGGTGGGGCCGGGCAGCCCCTGCTGCGGCCCCGGGCCGGTTCCGGCACAGGCTGGGCGGAGCCCAGGGCGCCCGGCAGGCCCTGCCCGCCAGCCGCACAGGAGTGCCCGGGTGCCGGGACGGCCAGGCCATACCGGGAAGGGAAGCCTGGCCCGGCCCGGTCTGGCCCAACCCAACCCAACTCGGCTCGGCCCGGCCCGGCCCGACCTAGCCCAGCCCAGCCCAGCCCAGCCCAGCCCAGCCCAGCCCAGCCCAGCTTGTCCCATCCCATCCCGTTACCGGCAGCCGCTCCACTCCCGCTCCCTGGCTCCGGTCATGTGACCCCCGGCCCATCACGTGACCACGCCGCCCGGAAGCGCTCCCGCGGCCCCGCCGCCGCTCCCGCCTTGCCGTGCCCGGACCACAGCTCCCGGCGTGCCCTGCACCCGAACCACAACTCCCGGCGTGCCCCGCGCGGACGGTGGCCGGGCGGGACCATGGGACTCTCGGACATGGCGCGTGTGCCGCACGTCGTGGCCGACACGGGCGCGTTCCTGAGCGCGGCCCCGCTGCAGGTACCGGGGGGACACCGGGGGAGAGGCGGGGGGACATGGGGAGCGCGGGGGACACCGGGGCCGAGCCAGTGTGACGGCGCTCCCGCAGGACATCGCGGATGCGCTGTACACCGTGCCCGAGGTGCTCGCCGAAATCCGTGACCGCCCCACACGCCGCCGCCTCGCCGCGCTGCCCTGCGAGCTGCGGGTCCGCCGCCCGCGGCCCGACCTCCTGCGCCTCGGTGAGTACCGCGGTACCGGGACCCACCCTGCGGCCACAGGGACCTGCCCCGGCCCAGCTCCTCGGGGGCCGCCCCGCCCTGCCCGGCTCCCCCGTCCCGTCCCGTCCCGTCCCGCCCCGACGGCCGCTCCGCCCCCCCGCAGTGACCGACTTCTCCAAGAAGACCGGGGACTACCCGAGCCTCTCGGCCGCCGACCTGCAGGTGCTCGCCCTCACGTGCCAGCTCCAGGCCGAGACCGACGGCCCCGGCGGGGTCCGCTGGGAGCCGCAGGACAAGGTACGACCCGCCCGGGGACGGGGTCCCGGCCCCGCCGCCTCCGCCCACCCTGCTGTGTCCCCCAGGTGCGGCTCAGCTCCACCCCGCGGCACCCCGAGGCGCCCCTGCACCTCGCCGGCTTCCACCTGCCCGCCAAGGTAGGGAGGGGAGGGACGGGAAGGGGAGGGTGTGGAGCCCCCCGGAGCCCCGGGCGGCTGAGGGACCCCGCGCTGTGCCCCCCCAGCACAGACCCCCGGGGAAGGGGCAGCGCCCGCCCAGCCCCGAGCACGGCCCGATCCCGGCAGACAGTGACCAGTTCAGCTCCTTCCTGTACTGGCGGCCACCCCTGCCCAGCATCGAGGAGGAGCTGCAGGAGCTGCTGGTGAGACCCGGGGCCCCTCCCTGTCCCTGCTCCCCCATTTCTGGCTGTTCCCAACCCCTCTGTGCCGTCCTGTCTCGTACCCCCAGAGCACCCAGGCCATCTCCCTCTGCCCCGAGGAGCCCCAGAGCCTCGGGGATGGGGCCAGCGCTGGTGAGGAGGAGGAGGAAGAGGAGGAGGAGGAAGAGAGTGACGACGAGGGCTGGATAACACCCAGCAACCTGAAGCAGGCCCAGCAGGACGCAGGGCACTGTGACACAGACCCCGCTGGGGTCCAGGTTGGCTGCGTCACCACAGACTTTGCCATGCAGGTGGGGCTGGGCTGGGGCAGGGGGTGTGGGATGGGGCAGGGGGGTTGGGCTGGCTCGGGGGGCTGTGGGGGCACACTCAGACCTCAGGGCCGGTTCCACCAGCCGAGGCAGGGACAAGTCTTTGGACAGGGTGGGAAAAGCTCTGTGACGGCTTCTTATGTCAAAGCCAACTGGGTCTCTCCGTCCCAGAGGCTCCTCTGGGTGTCACTTCTGTCGGGGTCTCTGCCATGGGCCTCTCCCTGCCCAGGCTAGCAGAGCCCAGGTGATGCTCCTCCCAGTCCCAGCTCAGTGTCCCAGTTTGTCCCTCCCCTTGCAGAACGTGCTGCTGCAGATGGGGCTTCATGTGCTGGCAGTGAACGGGAGGCTGATCCGCCAGGCCCGGAGCTACATCCTGCGCTGCCACGGCTGCTTCAGGTGGGGGAGCGTGGGGAGGGGGCTGGGGGGTCCTGCTCCCGGGCTGAGCCCATGTTCCATGGCCCAGGGAACCCTCCCTCTCCCTGCCTTGCAGGACCACCTCGGACATGACCAAGGTTTTCTGTCCCCACTGTGGTAACAAGACCCTGAAGAAGGTCGCCGTGAGTGTCAGTGACGACGGGAGCCTCCACATGCATTTCTCCCGCAACCCCAAGGTGCTGAACCCCCGTGGGCTCAGGGTGAGTACCCAGACAGAATGATGGAATCACTGAGGTTGGAAAAGACCTCCAGGATCATCGAGCCCAACCTGTGCCCGATCCCCACCTTGTCAACCCAGCCCAGAGCACTGAGTGCCACATCCAGTCGTTCCTTGAACATCTCCAGGGATGGGGACTCCACCACCTCCCTGGGCAGCCCCTTCCAGTCCCTGACTACCCTTTCCATGAAGAAATTCCTCCACTGGGCCCCCGGGAATGGGAGCCCGGCCTGTGGCCGGCAGGTTGGAGGGAATCAAAGCAAAACTGTGAACATCCTCTAGGTGTTCCCCTTGACCCCAGGGCTTTAGGGCTTCCCTGCTCAGTTCTCCAGAGGCCTGTGGTCCCCTCCGAGCCCCCATGACCCACAGTTGACCCCTTGTCCCCCGGCAGTACCCGCTGCCAGCGCCGCAGGGCGGGAAACACGCCAACAACCCGCACCTGGTGGAGGACCAGCGGTTCCCGCAGCAGCGGCTCTCCCGCAAGGCCCGGCAGAAAACCAACGTGTTCGACCCCGACTACCTGGCCGGGGTGTCCCCGTTCGCCGAGCACGACGTGCACAGCCGGGCCGCCAACCTGCACATCCGCGACACCACGCTGGGCGCCGGCCGGCGCCGCCTCAACCCCAATGCCGTCACCAGGAGGTTTGGGAAGAAGAGGTGAGGGGCAGGATTGGTCCCCACCTGCAGGACCCACCTGCCTAGGTGTTGTGGTGGCTCTGGGAGGGTGAGGCCTCTCCCAGACCTGGGAACGGGCTGGACTGTTCCTCCCCTGCTTTGCTGGTGCCCAGAGAGGCTTCAACTCTTTGGTTTGGGGAGGCCCCCACCAGGGTGGAGGTGGGTGAGGTGGTGCCTTCCCTGCTCAGCCCCAGGCAACAGTTGTGTCCTAATAAACACAAAACTCTGTAGCACCGTGGCTCAGTCTTGTTTCTGTAGCTGCCTGTGCCAGGGTGAGCCTTTCTCTGAGCCGTGAGAACAGGGGAGGGAGGGAGGGAGGATTTCTCAGGCTGTTTTGTCCCATGGCCCCACAGTGGCATTAGCCAGGGGGAGGATAACGAGCTCCAGCAAGACAAAAGCCAGTGGTAGAGGTTTGTGTTTCACCCTGCACTGGGTGATGCCCAGGGCTGAAGGGGGAGGCCCCGGGGGAAAGCTTTGTGGATAAATCTGCTGAAATCTTTCACAATCAAGCAGTCTGCCCAGCTCTTGCTGCAGTTTCTTCTTATTCCTGCTGAAATTGTTCAAAATGATATAATTCCCAACACCTGCTGCAGTCCCTGGTCCTGGAGAGGTCATGGGTTGCAGAGTGGGAGCAGGAAGGGGGGACACAGCTGGGCCTCCCCAGCCCCAGGTCATTCTTAGTGTGTTGGTACTAAGATGCAAATCAAGGGAATGAGGTAACACCCCCCAAAATCCTGCTGGGGAGGTGGCAGCTCCGGTCATCTTAGCTTTGGACTTGCCTCACCTCCGTGGGGCAGAACAGCCCCAACGACCCTAAGGGAGAGTCTGCATCTCCCCCCATTCCTCAGCAATGGAATCCCAGACTATGGAAGCAATTCCTTTGGTTACAATTTGCAGGATGGGTTGGGCAGCCCCCCAGGGGTTACTGGGAGGCTCCACACCACAAAGTCAATGCAAAACGCTGGGATGTGATTCCAAAGTGCCTTTTCTTACACAACAGCTGCAGCAGGACACAGCTCCTGACCAGCACCAGATGGTTCCCAGCTGGACCATTCCACACTGGTGAGCAGAGCTTCCTCCCGGCAGAGGGAAGATGCCCTTGGAAAAACCACCACAAGACTTTACACAGCAAAATGAAAACTTTCATCGTTTTATTCTCGACTGCAGCTGTTTACAGAAATATAGTTGCGAGTATACAAATGTCCCAATAGAAGCAAAATATTTTTATTTTTTTTTTTAATATTCAACAAGTTATCACAGGAGAGCTAAAAACATAGATGCAAATAAAATATCCCCTCAGAGACAAACTGAAAACACCGGGAATCAGTGCTTGGAAAACCCCACCTACGAAAGCCATATACACAGAACTGCACAAAGGAGTATCTGGTGCTACTTTCACATTGCAGGACACAGAAGAGGCAGCTCAGTGCTGGACGGTGCACCCAGAACACCTGGAACACCTGCAGACAGGTGAGGAGGCCACCAGAGGTGCAGCCAGGAACAGAGGTTGGAGCTCTGCTCGGAAGGGGTTGGAGTTTACTCAGCATCAGCTCAGATGGAAATAATTCAAATCACCTTGTTTTATCCAGAATAAAAGAGCTTCAGGAATACTGCAGGCTGCTAAGGACACTGGAATGTGATCCCAGTTCTGCAACACTCAAAGAGCCACTTTCAAACGAACTTCCCTCCAGGAACTGTTACCCCAAACAGCTCCTGCCCGAGGACACTCAGGTCAGGCCATTCCCAGCTCCCAGCGGAGCAGCTCCAGGGGCCAAAACCAAGCCAAGGCCATTTACCTGTCGCCTGAACACAGGACCCTTCCTAATCCCAAGCCTGGAGCAAAGCATGCAGCTGGAATGCCACCCAGTGGCTGCTGGGTAAGGGAGCCTTGGAACCTGAACCTCAGATTCCTCACCCCATCCCCATCCAGGGAATGTTACCTGGCAATTTAATGAACTGTAACAGCAAAAAGGAAAGGGCAGAGATCAGCCCTGCAAACTCCAAGAGAAGAAATAAGGACACTGGCTGGCAGTGTGCTGGAGGTGATCTGATGAACCCTGCGCCACAACAACAATGCCTGATCCACCCCATGTCAAATTCCAGTAGAACACGCTGGATTTGGCATGAAAAGTCATGGTGGACACAACACACACCATTGATTTTATGACCTGCATTTTATAGCATGAAGCTGTGTCAGGGGAGGGCGAGGCTGGATAACAGGGAAAGGTTCTTCCCCCAGAGGGTGGTCGAGCACTGAACAGGCTCCCCAGGGCAGTGGTCACGGCCCCAAGGCTGCCAGAGCTCAAGGAGCGTTTGGACAATGCTCTCAGGACAGGGTGGAATTGCTGGGGTGTCCTGTGCAGGGCCAGGATTTGGACTGGATGATCCCTGAGGGTCCCTTCCAACTCAGCATATTCTGTGGTTCTATGATTCTTAGGGTTTAATTCCTCACACAACCTGTAAGGAATCAGCACGAGACAACAGGTCCCTCATGGTCAAAAGCCAAGGGGAGCTTCACTGGCTTTCAAGGAGTTCTCTTGAAGTTGACTGTTGCAATAACAATTCAGATAAAAAATACTTTACAGACGCCTGCCCCTATGGGAATAAAGAGGAATGGCAGAGGAAGCTTCTCCTCCCTGACCCAACACAGCCAGCTGAGCAACAGGGCCCCTTTGCTACACAACAAGGACCAACATATCTGACTGGTCTGAGCCCAGCTCCTCCACAGCACAGCCACCACCATTCCCTGTCTGCACGAGCTGCTGGGAGATTGGGAATGGGAAAAGTCCTGCAGGGGCTCAAAGGAAGCCAGACAGGAGCTCAGGGATGCAGGAGGCCTGTGCTGCCACTGCGCTTCCACAGCCCATCCTCAGACAGGCCTCCACCTGCTTGTCAGTTCTACTCTAACCCATATCTGCAAGTATTAATAAAAAGATATAAAAATACAAAAGTGGCCACAGCTGCTCAAACCCACAGATTTCAGTGACATTCACAAGCAAAGCAAATTCTGGAGTCATGTTACCAACAGGGCCACACATACAGGACTGAGAGGTGCTGAGACAGCTACTCATGAGTGACTACAAAAACCTCCTACTAAGGAAAAGGAATATTATTTCATGTTTATAAAATGTAAATATAACAGTATTCTATGCATGTGTCTAGTTATTTATATATAATAGATATGACTCCTCTATATACATATATATAATCCTAGAATATACAGGCAGTGCATATTTACATTCCTATACAGAATGTGAGAGGAAAAGCCTCTCCTCCTGTGTAACCCCTCTGAGCCCCCCACTCCACTAGAGAATTTTACAAGTTCCCTTTTACAGGAGTTTGCCCCCTGCTGTATTTTTCTTTGTATCTAAACACATTTATCCCATTTCCAACCCTGACCCTCTTGCTCATCCTGGAGCAGTGGGCACAGACTCCCTGCACAGGGCACCACAACTGGCATAACTGGGCTGAGCACAAACACAAAGGGCTCACAATCTGCCCCAAAAAACTAACTAAGCCCAAATTAAAACAAAACCCTTGAAAAAACACAGCATCTCAGTGCTGTTTCCTTTTAGCTTTTAAAGAACAGAGCTGCTCCCAGTGTTCTGGACCACAAAACCCACTGACTCCTTGAAAGTCAATTTTGCACTAATGAGAAGTCACCAGTGACCAGTATTTCCTCTTTGCATCTTCCACCTACAGCTCAGAGCATGCCAAGCAATTCCCTCTCCTTGTTCCTGCTTCTCCCATTCAGACAGTGCTCCCTGCACTCCTCTCATGCCATGCCCCTAGAAAAGGAACCAAACAGTTTGCCAAGCAGGGGCACAAGAAATCAGGAATAAAAAACTGTTCAGACACGTTTTCCTTTTAAAAATTAGATCCTAAATCAAAATCTCAATAGAAACTTCAAAAAAAAAATAAGTTGCAAAGTTGCAACTTATCCAAATGAGGGGAATGTCCACTGACAGAGCTGCCCAGACTTGGCACTTCGAGTGAAAAACCTGTCAATGTTTAACTGCTCAGGCCTTATTTTATCTTAAAACTACATGGGAAGCAACCACCCTGTCAGTGATTAGAGGTAATTATAATAAATGATTGGAGATTCAATATCCACTTCAGAACTGCCAGCCTGGAATTGCTTCTTGAACTAGATTTGTGTTAAAATAAGAGCAAAGCATTTGGCTCGCTGAAAGATCAGGCAGTGAGGAGGCAATTAATAACAACTTGCTAATTAAGCACAAAGCACCAGTAAGGCCCTGCCAGAGGAGACATTCAGCTAAAACTGTGCATTAAGTGTTGGGTGTGTGATTTTTGTGTCTCTGTGCACACTCACAATGTAAAAGTGGCCGAGAGAACGTGTGTGGACGTGGGGCTGTGCCTGGCAGGTTCCTCTCCCTAAATCCTCACCTGTGCCCACAAACTGTGCTCTGATACCCCCCCCCCCATGGAGGCTTGATTTACAGAGACTAAAACCTCAGGATCTTCTTTCTCAGCCAAAGGGACCAGACACAGTGCCAGCAATCCGTGTGCTCCCGGAGAGCAGAGGGGGAAACACAGGGATCAAACAAAGCAGATAAAGCTCCACTGACCAATCTCAACTGCTTAATTACAGAAGAAAATGCTCAGGACTCTGGTAAAACACAGATGTGGCTCCTGTGATATCCTGCAGCCTGTCCTTCAGCTCTTTTTTGGCTGATCCAATCCCTCCGTCCTCTGAAACAGCTCTGAGCACATGCCAACCGCTGAGCGACCTCTTCAGTCACAGACAAATACTTTTTGTAACCAAATCACATGTTCAAAGTGTTGTACATTTAAACATTGACCTAAAATGAACAGGTAAATCTAACACGAGGAAAGGAGGTGTTTCCAGAAGGGAAAACTGGGATAGCACAGCCCTTGATTGGTTTGTTTTGTACATCTTTTTCTCTTCTCTTCACAAGCGATCTCAAACAAACCCACAATTCAAACATACTGCCTTGGAGCTGTGGCAGTCCTGGGATGAGGTTCTCTTCTGGGCACCCATCCTGTTCCATGGAGAATTGGTCCCTGGTGACTTGGCACCGACCAACATACAGATACACCCCTTCGGAACAACAAACAAACTGAAGCAGCACAGAGTGAACTGATCATTCCTGTCACTTCTCCTGTGTATGATGGCCCCAGGTGACACCCAGCAGCTTGTCCTGGGAAATGTATCCTGCAAACACCGTCAGTTCCTTTTCCAATAACTGGCTATGGACTTCCATGGCCCTCTGGAAGTTGTTTCAGTCCATAGTTCTCAGTCTGAGCCCTACACAGCATTTGGTCACTGCTGTGAGGCTGCTGCTTTCACATCATGAACCATTACAAGATGTTGTTAATATTTTGTCTTAGCAGGGGAAAAAAAAAAACAAAACAACAAACCCACAAAAAGAAAAAAGTCTGGCTGGGGTTAAAGCAGCTCTGGACATGATGCAGCAGGGAATTTGTTTTGTCATGATTAAAATTTTCGAAGTTTGAGCATAATTATAAATTAAGAGTTAAAACACAGAGGCGCTAATAATAAAATATTAAATAGGCAATGAGAGTGGAGAAAAGCTGAATGGCTCATTCTGAGGGAAACCCCGATATTTCATATTTTGTATAATCCTAAATGCCTCTGGGTTTCCTTCCCAGACTGTGAGTAAGGGACACACCGAACACAGAGCGAAGCTTCTCATGGCCAGCTGGACCAACACTGCCTGATGGAATGGCGAGAGATGAACACGTTATTTATGTTGCAAAAAGTACTTAAATACTCAATAAAGACATAACAAACCCCACCCCACCCCACTGTTATCAGACGCCACGTTGTGGTAGAACATCAGACAAACTCACAAATTTACCACAAAAATGTGTGGCAAAAAGAATATTTTATATATATGTATATATATAAATTTTTTATATTTATGCCAATGTACTCACTCAGTACAAATAGCAAAATAGTTATACCATTTCCTAAATACAAAATATAGCTTTCCAAAAAAATGAAACACACATTAGATATAAACCATCCAAAACTTGAACGATTGAAAACTGTATTCAAAATTAAATGACCCAGAGCAGGTCTCTTTCTGAAAAGTTCCCTTCATATCGGCAAGAAGCCTTACTACTGAAAACGTAATTCAATGCCTCTCAATGAGAGAGAGAAAGAGAGAGACAGAAAGAGAAAGTGAACGTCGTGACAGACCCACAAACAGGGAAAATCCAGGAAAACCAACAAAAACTCTACACGGCTCAACTACGCACACAAGTTAAGGGGAAAACACACAGTAAACAGACTCGAGGAACTTAAAAAAAAAAAAACCATTTACAGACTGTTCTTTTGTTATTTCAAATAACAAAAATGAAAAATGACGTGACACCAACTACACTCTACGAGGCGTTACGGCCGCCCGGGGAGCGGGAGGAGAACACGGATCTGAGCGAGGCTTTAGTGAGAGATCACAAACTGTCCCGAGAGTTGAAGCACCCAAAAAATTCACATGCCTCACAATACACCTGCATGGTCTGGAGTGGGTTGTTTTTACATTCGGTAACAATAGTCAATGAGTTATTTCTGAATTAAACACGACAATCTAGAAACCAGACTTGGGGCTTGGTGGTAGAAAAAGGAAAAATCACTTCAGAACTGCAATGAGCTCCACGTGCTACAAAGATGCAACAGCTCAGGACGAAGTGATGTTTTAAGAAGGCTTAAAAATGATGCAATTTGCCCCCTACTTGGAGTAAAGCCAAGCTGAAGATTTCCATCAGTCACAGCTGGAAAATGGCAGGTTAAGGGGGATTCCTGCGTTTAGAAGGTGGTGGGAAAATTGCTTCCTCCCTCCTTACTCCTTGATTATTTATCAAAGCTTCTACTGACTAAGCAATTTACTGCCAAGGATTCCTAAAAGCTGCTTCTGAGCTTTAAAGCCAGTAGGATATTTATGTCTTTTCTTTAAAAACACAGTATGAAACTGAGGGAGAAAAGGAAAACCATGGAAAGGATGAAAGGGAGAAGGCTGGTTTGGGAACAGCTAATGAGACTTTACAGAGCTCTAACCCATCAGTCAGAGTGAGAGACACAGAGGAGTTCCTTCCTCAGCCAGAATGTTCTTTACAAGCTGAAGGTGTTTTAGAGGAGAAAATTTTAAGAGCAACTGGAAGTTCCCCTTCATTTCTTCATTCTGCAGAGCCACCAGACCCTTGCTCTATGTACAGCTAAGAGATGTGGAAAATTGTTAATCCCATTCTCAGATGGGAATTGCTCACCTCTGGCTATCTATAGCAACAATTCTCTGCTTGGTTATATCAATATTTTCAATTAATAAATCGCAGATTTGGCTGTCCCACTCCATGTCAATTGTGAGATTCCATCACTTACTGACAGCTGAGACACAGCTCATGTCAGAGGAAACTGCTGTTCCTGCTTCATGAGCTTTCCTAGGCAAAAGAGGGGATGTGAAGAAGGAAGAGAAGGGGAAAAAAGTAAACATGGTAACATGGATTACCTTCTAACAACAATAATAACTGACCAGATATGCTTTAAATTCAAAGAGCCCCCACGGTAATGAGGTTTAGGAACCTGGTAACAGCCCAATCCCATGCCCCAGTAACACAAAGCATAACTCCTCAGCATTATTGGCACTACAGAGCCCAAATTCCATGGCTGTGGCCCCAGGTCTGCCACTGGCCACGTGTGTGCTCTTTAGAGAGGGCCACTTTTCCACAGAAGCAATCAGTTCCACGCAGCCTAATCCAGAGTCGGAAGGTCTGAGAGGATCTGGGAAATCGTCGGTTTTTTTTCTTCACAGAATTTCTGCAGGAGAAAACAAGCAGAAAAGTAATGCACAGCTAACCACAGTCATCCTCTTACTGCTGTGTAGTGCCTTCATCTTCAAAGTGTTCCTCATGAGTAGCAGCAAACTGGGGGTGAGTAGCAAGAGAAGGCTTTGTGGAGATCTTAAAGCCAGTACCCAAAGGGGGCTTCCAAAAGAGCTGTAGAGGGACTTTGGACAGGAGCCTGGAGTGACAGAGCAACTGAGAATGCCTTAAGCTGAAGGAAGGCAGGGTTACATTAGTTATTAGGAAGAAATCCTTCCCTGTGAGGGTGGGGAGGCCCTGGCACAGGTTGTCCAGAGAAGCTGTGGCTGCCCCTTCCCTGGAAGTGTCCAAGACCAGGCTGGATGGGGCTTGGAGCAACCTGGTCTAGTGGAAGGTATCCTCGCCCATGGCAGGGGGTGGGATGAGATGGTCTGTAAAGTCCCTTCCAATCCAAACCATTCCATGATAGGAACACAGCATTCTTTCCTATTGCAGGATCACTCTCCTTCCACCCTTCTTCCTTTTGCCTTTTTTTTTTTTTAGAAAGTTTCTAACTCCATATACAAACCCCTTTAATTTAAAAAATTACATTTATCACTTAAGTGAAACTCGTGGGGGATTTAGGATGGCATCACAGTTAACCAGGGCCAAGTTACATGCCACAACCCCCACGAGATTCCAGAGTCCTTACAGTTCTTGGTGCTCACTTGTAGTCAAAGCCTCTTCCCCCCCTCTGAAAAAGGCACCCTCTAAAAGCAGGATGTTTCCCAGTAACAGCTGATGGTGTCAGCACGTTTCTGGCACAGCCTCAGCCTGTGGCACACTCAGGGCCTGCCATATTCCACCAAAACTTGTTTTCACACTACGTTATTATAACCCAGGGGGCAAGTTCAGAACACTTCAGACTTGAGGTGTTTGTTTTTTATTCAGTAAGTCTCAAGTTTTTAACTGCAGTCACATTTCATAAGCCTGTCAAGCTGTCAGTGATCCACTCTCCTTCCTAACAAAATACTTCCTAACAAAAGGCTGTGACAGCAGATGACAAAACATATGAGAAGTGAACAACAGGCCCGGCCTCAACCAACTGCTGCATACAAATTCTGACTTGGTTTAATAACTTCATTCTGGTGTGATATTCTTAATTCAGCATCACTGGTGGTTTAGCTGACCTCTTGAAGCACAGTCATACACTACAAGGTAAAAGTGTACTGTGCAAAAGCATAGGTGTGGCAGGACAGAACCCAGACACTCAACCTCAACACTTACTTGCCAGATTAGAAGGAGCCAGCCATGTTGTTCCCCTGGTTTTGCAAGGACACGAGCAGATCATCAATTTTCTCCATGTTCTGGTTGGGTGCCATCGCCGGCGGCAGCGGCGCCGGCTCCGAGATCTGCTGGGACAGGAGCGCCGGCACCGCCGCCTGCCCCTCACCCTGGGGCTGCCCGGGCTGGCCCATGGCCATCAGCTCCTCTGGCAGTGGGGCTGGCCCCGAGGTGAGCAGCTGGCCACAGTCTGGGGGCAGGAAGAGAACACAGGAACATTTCAGTGAGGGTAAGTCCAAGCACACACTTGGGTACGACCACAGCAGAGCTGCAACAACCTGTTGTACCATCACCTGCACCTCTCACTTCTGGGGCTCCACAGCTACCTACAGACCTTTACAAAGAAAGGATCTACATTCCACAGAACTTGTCATGGAAGCTAGATCCAGACAGGGGATAGGGGAAACTGCACTTTAACCGACATTTTTCTGCACTACACAGCTCCCGAAATCCTTGCTTTCCTTCAATAGTGTGTGGACAAAGCCAACATGCATATTGTGGAAACCAAATCCAGCAAGAGAAATGCTCTCTTAAGAGAGCACAATCATTCCTAGATTAGATATTAAGGAGCAATTCTTCCCTGTGAGGGTAGTGAGGCCCTGGCACAGGTTGTCCAGAAAAGCTGTGGCTGCCCCATCCCTGGAAGAGTCCAAGGCCAGGTTGGACAGGGCTTGGAGCAACCTGGTCTAGTGGAAGGTGTCCCTGCCCACAGCAGGGGGGTGAAACGAGATAAATTTTCAGTGCCCCTTCCCACCCAAACCATTCTATGATCTATGAGAATCTCTTCCAAACTGCAAGCTCAACATGGGGCACTTGTCACTCACTGTTTTGGATGCCAAACAGGAATATTCCTGATGTCTGCTGGGATGACGCAGGGGAATTCTGCAGCTGGTTGATGGCACCTCCTGCTGTGTTGTGGAACAAAGGGGCCTGTTGCTGGGGAGGAGAGGCAGTTCCTGGCATTCCCGCCATGCTGTTCTGAGAGGAGTACATGGGAGACTGCTGCAGCTCCGGCTGGCTCATGCTGTTCTGCAGGGCAGACATGGAAGCTGAGGAGATGAACAGGGTGACTTGTTGCTCTTGAGAACTTGGGGACCCTTGGACCAGCTGAATCTGGGGCGAGTTATGGAAGATGGTTGGCTGCTGTGCTTCGGCCTGGTTGGAGCCAGGATTCTGGAGAGAAGACACTGGGGTCTGACTCTGGAATTGCATGGGCTGCTGCTCCTGGTTCATCGATGCCATGTTCGTCTGTGGATGGAAAATGGACTGGCCTTGCTGCTCCTGGTTGGTAACTGGGTTTTGATTGGGACTGAAAATCATGTTCTGCTTTTGAGAGGCCATGGTACCCATTGCACTTTGATTGCTGAACATCATGTTCTGCTGCTGCTGCTGCTGCTGTTCTTGCGCTGGAGGACTGCTCTGGATAGCAACGATCGAATGCTGAGGTTGGAAGATGGCTCCTTGTTGGTTCTGAGGGATGGAGCTGGACTGGATGGAGCCCAACGACACTTGAGACTGAAACAAACCCTGCTGAGCAGGCTGGGTCTGAGGCTGCTCCTGGGGAAGCATGGAACTCTGGATATGAGATATCTGGGTCTGCTGCTGGAAAGAAGTCTGCTGTTCAGTGTTTGTTGCTGTCTGAAGAGAAGAAATGGAATTTGGGCTTGTAAAGAATGACATCTGTTCTTCCTGAGTGGCAGGGTTGCTCATGGAACTCTGGGAGAGGAACATGTTGGCAGACTGCTGGTCTTGAGGAACCGAGGAGCTCTGCAAGACACCCATGGCATTCTGAGAGTGGAACATCGGGGGCTGCAGTTGGTCAGAGGAGTTAGTGTTGGTCTGGTTGTGGACAATGGAATTTGAGCTATGAAAAAGAGAGCCTTGTGTTTCCTGGGATATATTCTGAGTATCACCAATAGGATTCTGAGAGTGGAAAAGCTGAGCCTGTGAGTGTGGAGACTGCTGCATGAAGCTTCCTGACTGGATCGACATCATTTCCCCACCTTGCTGGAACAGGCCCCCCCCTTGCTGCTGAGTCCCACTCGCCTGGACACTCATCATGGTTTTGGTAGATGAGAAGAGATTAACCTGGGACTGACTTTCCCCACTGTGCTGCATCTGAACCATGGTTTGAAACACAGAGCTCTGCATCTGCTTACTCTGTCCTGAAGCCTCTTCTCCATCTGCAGAATTGGATGCCTGGAACATGGCAGGGCCGTTGTTGGAGACCTGCTGCTGAGCAGGGGCAGCCGCCTCGCTCCCCGAGACACCGGGGGATGAGGAGAATAATTCACACTGCATTTGCATGTCTTCATTAGTTGATAACCCACCCATCATGTGAGAAGCCTGCTGGTACACCGGGGACTGCTGCAGGGCTCCGTTCCCCGATGTTGTGGAGGAGAACAGATCCGACTGCATCGGCGTGGCCGCCGGGCACATGTTCTGCTGGATCCCGATCACCATCGCCGCCGACGTCTCCATCGCCTGCTGCTGCTGCTGCTGCTGCTGCTGGGGGTTGGACAGGGAGTTCTCAGGCTGAGAGTGAACGTTCTCAGCTCGCCCAGGCAAAAGGTTCTCCGCTCTGGAATGGACAGCTGTGTCTGAGGAGGAAAATATCCCAGGATTTACACTATTCTGTATCTGGCTGACCTGCTGAAAGATATCTGCGTTCAGCTGATCTTGGACATCCTCACTGCTGTCTGAACCAGAGAACAGAACGGAAGATAACTGCTGCTGAGCTTCCAAAACCTGCTGCACCAAGTCAACGTTCCTATTGCTACCAGTGGCAGTGTTGGTCGGAAAATTCCCAGCCTGGAGCTGCTGTATCGTGTTCTGTAACTGACTCACGCCGCTGGCCGATGAGAAGATACTGGATGAAATCTGCTGCTGCAAGGCCTGTGCTGGCTCTGAGAGCGTGGACTGTTGTTGTTGTGATGCATCAGTCAACTGTGACAGAGTCACTACTGTGCCATCCGACTGCAGCACTTCCCTGGTCTGGGAATCCCTCGTTTGGAACTGGGCAGCTTGCTGCAGTAACGCGTCGCTGTTCTGCAGCTGCCCCGGAGTGGACACTGCTGAGAAGCTGCCAGGCTGGGAAATGTCCTGGGTCTGGATCGTGGTCAGGGGCTCTGGGTTGTACACCTTGGGCTGGATTTGCTGCTGGTTTTCACTTTCAGAAGGTAAATGGGAAGCAGAAGTTGATATGCCAGACATGCTGTTTTCCAATGTTTGTTGAGTTGGTCCAACCACATTTGAAGCCTGAAAAGAGCAAGACATTGGGTAATTTATAAATGTAGTTGGGTGATGTTGATAAAATTTCCCCCAGCCTCTTATGTCCAGGGAAGATCAGAGGGAGAAGATGTGATGTCTGTGTATCTCTCCAGACATACCCAAACCAGCAAGCAAATGATTACCAGTGGAAATGCTATTTCAAGGAGGGAGTTAAGGCACAATTTAATGAAAGCAATGCTAGGAATTCATTAAAAGAATATTACAGTAATTTACTAGTTCTGTACCACAGCACAAAAAACATCATCACAGAATCACTATCCAAGTCAGGGTGCAGGAGCCAGGTGAGTTATCTAAGAACTTTTCTGTTATTTTACTCCTGCTCTGTGATCATGTTTTGCCCAGGTTGATCCTGGACATGGCATTTTCCCTGTCTATTACTCTTCTCCACTATTAAAGCATGGACAAAGGGGCGGATGTAACTCGGACTCTCAAAGCTGCTGTTCTCAGCCCCCCACCAAACTCACCTGGAACGTGGGGGGAGAGCGTTTTTCTGCACTTACTTCCATTGGAGCCACATCTTCGTTCTTAATCATACTGCTTGGCATGAGTGGAGTTATCAAGGCACTAGGAAGAATGTTCACCTTCTCCAGGTTACAGCCTGAGGCCTTCACTGCTGCAGCCACAAATACAACGCATTAGATCACTTTAGCATTAATTTTAATCTCACAGAATCAATGAATGGTTTGGGTTGGAAGGGACCTTAGAGGCATCCAGTTCCAATCCCCTGCCACAGGAAGGGACACCATCCACTAGAACAGGTTGTTCCAACCTGAACACTTCCAATAATTTTTTCTGGTCCACATAAAAAAATTACATTAGATATCCCAGATCTTTCCGGTAAAGAATTAACCTTTCTGATTTCAAATACTGCTGAAACTGGGCTTAAACTAAACCAACGGGAAAGCCTGCAAAAACCATCGTTCCATAAGTCCTTTCAAGTAAATTAAAGCATTAATCCTCAATGTAAAGCAACAGATCTCCATGCTTTAACCCAATTTAAACCTTACAATAAGGTGGCAGTAAAATTTCTGCACAAGTATATGAAGTGGGGAAGGACAGAGCAGAGACAAAGCACATAAAGCACACGAAACTGTCTGACCTCTGGTTCATGATCAACCTGGAGCAGAACAGGTACAGGAATGAACTGTCACAAAAGAGCTGGTAAGCAGAAACCCACATGAGAAGGTAAACTCAGATTTATTGCATAAATTAAATGAGGATATGAAGGAACAGAAATAGCACATTGTGTTCTGAGGAACAGCAGCTGTTCTCTAGCAGTTGGGATTTTCCCTCGGTGAAGCCTCCACACTAAATTAGATGGATGTCAGGCTTACCCTGTACATTAGTTATTATTTTCCTCATCTTTTCAATCTGGCTACTAGAAATCTTACCAGTCCTTTTACCAGCTTGTTTCATTGCCCTACATATCTTTGCATATTTCTCCTCCAATTATTCTCTGCAGGTTTAAACTCATCAGATCCTGTATTATCCTCCCTAACAAGTTGTAAAGTCAACTTGTAAATCCATCCATGCCAAGACCAAGCTCTTAACTTCAAACACGAGCTCTGTGGGTCTCACCTGCAGCCATGGATTCCTATCACACCTGGGATCACACTGCTCACCTTCAACCTGCTTTTCCAGAGCAGGCTGTGGAAATTTCCAGTCATCTTTGTGCACCACTGGAGTCTTCACAGGCAACTAAGAGACATTTCCTTCCTCTATTTCAATACTAGAAGGATCAATTCACACTAAAAAAAATAGGTAAACCTAAAACTTGTTCTTTTGGAAGGAAACGACGAACTTTGCATGGACAGAATGGTCAGAAAAAAAAGTCCTCACTGATGGGAGTAAGCTGAAACTCCCAGAATTAATGTTTTTAACTAGACCCACTGAAAGCAGTGTCATTAAACCTATAAAATACAGCTTTTGAAAGACACCAAGTTGCCACAGTTGTGTTTTTCAGTGCTCAGTCCTTCCCCACTACCAAGTTTAGGTGTAGTTTTGCCTAAATTAACACTACACTGTTTCTAAATCTTTTTTATTAACTGCTATCTTAGGCTTCTTTTTAGCTCTTCACTTGCAAACATATTAAATAAAGATCAGACTGCAGGGCCTGAGGAATGAAAAATGGGGAGAAAATTTAATATTATTTTTTGCAAAGTTTTTGTTCTATATTCACTCATTAAAACATACTTAAAGGAATACTGTTATAAAGTAAAATATTCAGAATCAGAGAACAAACCTCCCTGTTTGAACGGGGCCAGATTTTATAAGCACGGAGCTATCTCAGGATGTCTGATTCATTGCTCCAAATTTGAGTAAGAATTTAGAGTTAAATTATTAACAACACTGATAAGAATCAATTTAGTACCTTTTATAGCCTCTTCAAAAGAACAATGTTGGGCTGGGCTGGAGATTTCCTTCTTCACATTAACATTCAGAGTCCCAGCTGCTGAGACAAAACACATTGAGAACTTCCTATGTTAAATCAGCAAACACGCCAAAACCAAACAAAGCAAACCAAAACAGTTACTTATAGCTTAAAAAAATTCAGGTTCTTTGAAACCCACAAACCTTCACCCTGTGTATTGTGATATAGATAGATAAATAAACAACAATATGTGAGGTGGGCAAACTGCAGCTTTCCTCAGGATAAAGCTTGGTGGGATTTCTTGGTTTATTTGGTGCACTGTATGGAGTATGTCTATTTTTTTTCCTGTTCAGCTTCATTCTGATCCTTAAACTAGAAATGGATGCTGCTGTATATGAACAGCTGTCTCCATGCAGCTGGAATTTGAGGTATTTACCACATAAATGAGAAAAGTAAAGCCTTCGGATTTTATTATTAGCAGAGCAAACCTCCCATGAAGAGAAGTTTGGAAAGATCTACGTTACTTAACATTCCTGTGGTACGGATTAAACAGTGAAACGAGAACTGAGATAGTTCAGCAGGTGAAATGCCCACCCCTCCCCAGTCTGTGTGTCACACACCTGGATCTGGAGTGTAGGTAAAGGGCTGCACATCGTGAGATCTCCCAGCGTTGGTCACCACATATATTCCCACAGAAACAGCTGAGGTTATTTGCTGGTCGTGATATGGTGGCACCTTCACAATAAGGTGATTCTGTAAGGCAAACAAACGTCACTGGAAAAAAATCACATTTTATTATTATTGACCTTAATTGTATTTACTTACATCGAAAGAGAGAAATAGACTGATAAACCACCATAAAAAACAAAGCCACTGGGAGAGATGCATGTGTGGGATCCTGCCTTTGGAAGTGGGATCAGGATGGCCCTTGTTTGACACCATCTGCATTTAATAATTCTCCAATTTCAGCCCAACAGTTCATAACGACTGCTGTCTTTAATTGTGTCAAAAAGAATGAACAAATATTCTGTAAAAGATTTCACAGTGGAACAGAAATCCAGCCAGGTATAGCTCTGGTGTACACACAATTTATTTCCTCTCAGTAGTAACTCAATGTGTCCTTAGGAAAACTGCTGGAAAAACCGAATTAGGCATTTTAATTCTATTGTATGTAAGGGCAAAGACCTGCTCAGCAAACTGTGGTACCCAACTTCTCAATGAGAAAGGGAACAACTATACTTGTGTAAACCCAAAATTATATTCTGCCAGACTCACTGTAGAACTTATGTGAAGAAAAAAAAATATTATTTCTAGAAATGCACAGCAAGAGGGAAAGGCTTCATTGATTTTTTTCTCTGGAAACAGTCAGAGTATTTTGTAATTAAAACTATAATAATAATAGCAATAGTAGCAACAATAAGAATAGTAATAATAATAATGGTAGTAGTAATAATAATAATAGAGGAGTACCTGATGAAATAATTCCATATCTATTTCAGCTTCTGCCTTCCAGGAATTCTCATCTAAATGAAAATTAAAAAGTAGAGTTTATTGCACGTGCAACAGAGCAGTTTATTTTCATGCCCTTGATTCTGCTCCTCAGTTTGCTCTCCACGACTGAGCTTAACCAAGCAATTGAACCCCAACCCCGTGCTCTCCTCAGAACCCTAAGCCAGCATGGCTTTCACACTAACCAGAAACATTCTCTTGGAAAATCACTTTTGTTCCCTTTAGGAAGTTCTTGCCAATCAGAAAAACTTCCTCTTCACCCTTCACTGAACAGCTGTGGAGACTTTTCTTTAGGATCTCTGGAACTCCCGCTGGTTGAGCTGCAAGGAAAAAACAGTTTGAAATCAAGAAAATATCAACATCCAAAACAAACCACTTTTACTTATAGAGTGATGAAGTAAAAAACAAAATAATTCCTGATCTTCCTCCTTCACTACATCATCCATGACTAACTCTTCAGAAGATAACCATTTCTATTATTTCCTCACAAAAATCACACTTAGGTCAATGATTCGCTAATAATATTTTCCTTTTCCTCCTGCCTTTATTAAATCTTCTAAATGAAACTTTCAGTGTTGGAGCCAAAGCTCAACAAGTGCCCAGAAGAGAAGAAAACATGGTGCTGTAATTCCCTGGTATAGACAGAGACAAACAAAGGCCTTAGCCCTTGGCCACATCTGAAGCCCCCCTGCAAATTCAGCCTTAAGATCATAAAAAACTTAGTTTTTTACAAAGATTATTTTATTCTGCTCTGCAAAAGGGTAGAAGTGGTAATTGCCCTATTACCTGGGGGGGGTTACACTTGTTTTTTTTACATGACATAAGTTTTCTGGCTGGTGCAAGAACCCAGGGCTTGGGGCAACCTGGTCTAGTGGAAGGTGACCCTGTCCATGGCAGGGGGTGGAACTCGATGAGCTTTAAGCTCCCTTCCAAATCCTTGCAAGAGTCCCATCGCTGCAGTTGGGGATTTTAGCAATTTATATCCAATAAATAAGCAAAGAGGATGTGGTTTCCAGACACACATCACTGGACACCTCTGTGCCAGCGACTCAGATGACAATTTACGTAACACTTATCACCAACTGTCTTTGCTGCAAACCATTCCTATTCTTCTAAAAGCCTAAATCATGTAAAACCACACATGTTAAATGAGCACTACAGGCAATTTAAACAGACAGATATTTTAAAATAACGTGCTTTGACACACTTAGGATAAAATAACTGCAGTTTCTAACAAGGGTTCCCCAGCCCCCTTTCCCACTCCCCATAAATCCCTAGGCACACGCTCGTGCTCTGCACTTGCATGGTCCACTTTGAGTGTTTAATAAAAATATTCTCTGGGCTTACTACACAGCACAACATACATCCTGTACCACTCTAAATTATTTAATGACCTTTCAGAAAGGATTTCTCTACAACTCTCGCAGAGGGTTCCCAGGCAACCGTTACGCAACGACTGAATATGCTCAAGGCACATGAAAAGAGTAACTGGATTTAGGTTTGCTAACAAGTTAACAAAGCCTATTTAAAATACAGACCTTAAATAAAGAGCCTGCAGCTACTTAACACCTCTTCTGTGGTTTCAGGAACATTATCAGTTATAAAACACAACATAAATGGGCTCTGACGAGGGAAAATGCAAACCTTGTTGAGAAGGTACAGCACACATCTGCAGTAAGGTGTATGCAGCAGACAAACCCGGTGTAATGTGCTTGAGGAGATGATTTATATGAACAATTTAATAAACAACATTATTTTATGCCATTTTGATCAGCCAGGACATACGTGCCAGCACTACTGGGTTGGCCAAGGTCTACTGCAAGTCACCATAACTTCAGCATAAGCTACAACAGAAGCACAGAATCCTGGAAAGAGTCTCAGGACTTCCCCTCTCAACCCTCACATCATGATCAGCGCTACCCACATATTCTCCAAAGGCGCAAGTCTGATCAGAGTATTTTGCTCCTTTGTTTTAGACTTCCAGCATACGAAATTCCTGGGCAATCCCTTAGCAACTCACACAATTGAGAAGATTTTATTAGCAAGTGACCAAACCCCAGCTTGCCAAAAACTAAACCAATTTACTCTTTACTGCATCAAATACAGCTTTTTTCAGCTAAACAGCCTATTTTAAAATCAGTCTCTAAATGTTTCACCTCAGACTCTCAGCTTCTGCTCACAATAGTAAGGTTTAGACTGTTTAAGAAAATGGTAGGGGGGTGGAACGAGATGAGCTTTACGATCCCTTCCCACCTAAACTGCTCCATGGTTCTGTGATTCCCTTTTCCTCGCTGGTCAGTGGAACCTCCTCAGCCAAGGCAGCCAGCTGTGCTTGTGCTAAACAGAGCATTTATAAAAAGTTTTGTTCTTGCACTGAACCAGAACGGATTCAGCCTCTGGTCCATCCAAGAACCACTCAGAATGCCAGGCCCGCTGACTTACCACAAGTCCTTTCTAGCACTGAAAGCTGATGGATGAATGTGACATTACAGAGGAGATTAAAAGTTGTACCAGAAAGTCACTATTCGAAGCAACTATGACAAAAATTGTGAAATTTTAAGAGGCAAAAATTAATTTCATTGAAGAGCATAAATATATAACTATTTTTAAATAGAGGTCAATAATTTTAACTAATACCCCACCCCAAATAAAAATCAGTCTATGTAATCTAAACTATAGCAATTCTGAAATAATCATTGATTAACATGGGGTGTTTTCTTCCCCCAAGGCACAAAATCACAGAATCATTTAGATTGGAAAAGAGCCCAAAGACCACCAAGTCCAGCCTGTGCCCGATCCCCACCTTGTCACCCAGCCCAGAGCACTGAATGTCACATCCAGTCATTCCTTGAGCACCTCCAGGGATGGGAACTCCATCACCTCCCTGGGCAGCCCCTTCCAATGCCTGACCACCCTTTCTGTGAAGAAATCACACTAAACCCCAGACTCCTCTAAAATCAGCGTTCTGGTTTGATACTCACTGCACAGAATGGGGGAAGAAGGCGTCTGCAGGGTCAGAGTGGAGCCGTCCTTGCGCGTGATGTTGACGCGAAAGACCAGCCGGGCGCGTGTGCTCTTCTTCTTGGACCCGGCAATCCCTATCCTGGCTTCAACATCAGCATTCCTCAGCTTCAGGATTCCCACACAATCAACCCTAACAACACAGAAGAGTACAGAGTTTAATAGTTTATTAAGTTCAGTATCTTAAATAATCTTTCAAGAAGTTCCATAAGCCACCAAGTCAAAAGTCTTGAAGTAATTACTGAAATGTTATTAGATTATTTTTATTTATATGAAATCTCTCCATGACCTTTCTCATTTTTCAATTCAACCCTGCATAATCTGGAGGATGAATCATGGGAGAACAGCATATGAAAGCACGAATAGAATAGAAAACGCAATATAATTCTGGCAAGCATTCAATTTAGAATCACAGCTCTTCATTCTTCCATCCCTAGGGTGAGATCTGGGTTTGTAGGATTATTGCTACAAAATATTCTGCATTCACTTAAAGAAAGCAGGAGTAGAAGAAAACTTACTGTAGTCATATTATTTTTTACGTTCAGTGGGGCTTGGAAGTGACAGATACGTCCTACTGTAAGTGTGGTCCTGGGGCAGACGTACAGGGCCAGGTGAGAGATGCAGTGCTGGCTTTCAGAGACAAATGCTCCATGGAAAATTATTACAAGCAAAAAACAGCCAAAAAAATAAAAACAAAAAACTCAAAAAAAACCCAGAAACACAGCGTGATGTGTTGAAAAGAAGAATATTGTAATTTAATCAGGATTTTGGGCTCTATGTCGAAAAAGTACAGGGACCACCTGATATCTGAGTACAATAAACTTCAAGCAAGAGCTGAGGAGCAGAGAGGAGGGGACAGTGTGTTTCAGACAATGCCACTACTAGCGTTACCTTTAACAGAGATGCTACAGCAGCACTGAAATATCAGCAAATTTTCTTTAGAGACACCAAGACATCATGAAAAACAGCCCAGGCAAAACTCTTCTTCCTAGATAATTCCAGTTTCTCTTCCTGGTATTGCTATACTTTATATGGTTGGATTTGACCATCTTAAAGGTCTTTTCCAACCTTAACAATTCTATAAATCTATGATTAATGCCTGAGGAAAATTATAAAATTATTCTCTAAGAGGAAGTTTCCAAACTTATAGGAATAAATTTTTACTAAAAGAGAATCAAACTGATTCAGTCAATCTGCAAACTGTATTATCCTGCTTAGGAAGTAGACACTGTAAATTGAATAAAGGTTTCTTCTCTTGATACAAGTTTCTAGGTACAGAGTGGCAGCTTTCAACCACAGAGCCATTACAAAATAGATGTTCTACTGACAAGAAGACTTTGGAAGATCACTGCCTTCCTGTATATTGATACATGTGAAAAGCATAGTAGGGAATCACTTCTATTTGATCAAAACCACGAAAGCAGATGAATCCACTTTTCAAAACTTCCTGCTGTGACCCACTGTCATGAGCCCCTTCCCAGGGGCCACATACTGCTCTCATGCAGCTGTATCCTGGCTCCAAAACCTCACCTGTGCTGGACCACACCAGCTCTGTCAAGATGGGTAGAACAAGCAAAGCAAGAGAGCAGAAAAGCCAGAGTCTTGCTTCACTATCCACAACTCCCAGTTTTTTGGGCCCAATATTCTCCATCCCTTTTCCAAGCAGCAATTCTGTACTTGTTCAAAGCCAACCAACCAGCAGAACAGTGATGGCTATAATTCACCTAATGCTTGGATATGCACATTATTGATCAATCAGGGACAGGAAACCAACCTAACAAAGTTAACTGACAAAGTCTAAGGAAGAGCAGACTAAGCATGAAGTATAATAAACAAACTGAGAATGTGATTTAAAAGTTCTTCTATCCAGGTGGCCTCACTCAGTGCCCGGTGTGTGCCAAGATGGTCAGACTTTTAACTACCAACCCATCCAACAGAAAAAGGAAACCTGTTCCCAAGCCCAAGCTCATAAGCGAAAATATTTATAAAAAAAAGCTACTCACGCCAGTGTCATGTTGTTGCTTGGGTCCAGCCCAACCTCGATGACTGTGGTCCCCTCTATATCCACCTCCTTGCAGGGGGTGGTGTTTCTCCCAGTGACTCTGCAGGCCTGGTAGAACCCGTGCGGCTTCACACGCCCGGAGTCGTTCCCCACAAACACCTGCAGCACCACCGGCTCGTTGTGACCCTCCAGCTGAAATAGGCCAGTGGTTAATTAACAAGGAGGGATTTCTTTAATTATTATTGTTAATATTCTGGTTTTAAACCCCCTTGAATCCTATCTATCTTCAGGTAGAATGATCCCAGCTGTAACTCTCACGTCTCTTACGACCCCTCACTCTCACTCCAACCATGACTATTCCCCTCTCTCTTGCCAGAATTCTCCTCTCCCCCCAGTGCATCTATGTCCACCAGTCAGCCCAGAAAGAGAACATTTGCTGGGGTTGCCTCCAAAGGTGATTAGAATTTGTTGGTCAATACGTTCATGCCCATTAATCACTGGCATTCCAGAATCCCACCTTCACACCAGATGCACTTTGACACCAGATTAAAACTGTCCAACATTTGCAAAACCACTGGAAAAGTCAGAACAGGATGAAGGGGAAGCAGAGGTAAGAATGGGATGATCCAACTGCACAAGCCCAGCTTTCTCTCAGACAATAAAATAAAATTAAAAATGGTAACTTGACATCTCCTACTTAAAAGTTTACGAACAGTGTCAGTTTGTTGAAACACTTCGTAAGTAAAAGCAGGTCAGACATTTTAACATCCTCCTGCAATCCCATGTGAAAGCCAAAATTATTCCAGAACATGTCAGTGAAAAATACATTCATAAAACACATTCATGAAATGTTTGTGTCCTTTCAATGCTTTTTTTATTAGTGGAATTCTCCTGTGGTGCCACAGACTAAAAATACTCTGAGGTAAAAGAAATTCTAAAGTAAACCTGGACATTGCATTTCAAAGGAACCTTTCCTTCTTTTTAGGAAACGGTTAAGAAAAATACTCCAAGTAAAAAGAAACTCTAGATTGCTGACAAATTCCCAGGCCAGAGACGGCACTCCTTTGCCAGAGAATTCTAAGAGGAGATAAAATGACTATTTTAATGTTTTCACTACAACACATTTGTTGCTTGAGGATTTCCAGGTGACAGTGTTGTCTTTTGTCCCAGGCCTGGAAGTCGAGGCAATACCTGCAGAAAGAAGCTCCATTTTTATTAGTAAAGAGATGCAAATGAGAGCAGAGGCCTCTGGAGGATCTCCTGGGGGATTAGTCCCTGAATACACTCTCAGAAAACGTAGTTCTGCAGTTGTTAACAAGTTCAAATAAAGGAAAAAAAAAAATCAGCAAACACTGATAAAATCATTGTGTGCTCCTCAAGTCCAGGAGGGGCAAACAGCAAATGTGAGTGTTACAGACAGGCAAAGCCAAAAGATGTCTGGAGGTGGCCCAGCACAGGCTCCCAAGAGGAACCACAGGAACAGCAAAGGGCTCAACACCTAGTCACTTGATTAAGGTTTGTTTATACAATTTTAACATTGCATATTGATTGTGGAACTCAAGTTCTAAGTTGTCAAGAACAGAGTTTTATTTCAATGCCACAGAACTTGCTTCTCCCCCTCAGCCTATGTAAGAGCGATGCACTGGAGCGACTCCCAAACACCAGATCTCTGAACCACCACTGTTTTTACACTATTCCTCCCCATCTTTAAACCCCATGAACAAAACAAAAAGCCCTCTTGTCCTTAACATATTTTTTTCCCACCAGCTCAGATTTCCTGAAGATTCACTGACTCATTTGCTTGTGCAGCCCTGGCAGAGTTTTATCTGCAGGGTATGAACTCGTCTGCCTACTGGTAAAGCAAACTGGAACTTCCAGGAATTCAGCAACATGAGACTCTTCCAAACAGATTTTTCACTGATGGGTGCTAAAGGGTAACTGGGAAAGGAATTAAAAGGAAATTCAGATGAACAAAGGCCCATTAAGAAAATCCACATAAATGAGCACTAAATCCCCATAGCAACAGGCCAATATGAAAGGATTCTTTTCTTATGAAACTCTACTGGAGTTGTGCATTACTCAGGAGGACTGAGTGAAGGGCTGGTGGGGTTTCTAACGCTGCTGAACAGGACTTTGAAGACAAGTCTACTTCTATATTCTGTCAGCAGTGGACAGCACAAATTTAAGGGCTGTATCACAAGCAAACATTTCTTTGTGGACCTGGTAAATTAGTTTGGGTTGAGAACTGCTTATCTATCGTGGCCTTGACATAAAACTTCCCTCCTCCTGTAACTCTGTGATGCCAATAAGACTTTTTGCGACCTGCAAGAGACCCAGTACAGTCTTTACAGCAGAGGGACTGCAAAGCCTCCTCCCTTCCCTCTAAAAGAGAGACTGGAGGCCTGTTTGAACTGAACCTGTTCCCATTCCATTAGAGCACCCCTGGGAAGGGTGTCCCCATGCCCTCAGCCTACCTTCACCGTGGGAAAGCCCTGCTGTGTCCGGTCCTTCACAGAGCCCCGGCTGCCCTCAGTCAGATAACGAGCCCTGTGCTGGGTCTCCGGCTGCACCACAATCTTCAGTTCCTTCCCCTCACTCTTAGTCGGATACTGACCACACAACATTGGGGTCTTCTTCCCTCCAGCTCCCTTCTGGTTCTCTGATGCTCTGGGAAGTCAAAGCAGACCATCAAGAAGATGTTAGAAACAGCTCCCCAGTTAAAACAAACCAAATCACAGAAGAGCTAAAAAGACAAAGGGTGTGTATTAATGGATGGAAGATTTGTAGTGGAGAGCCAACTTTGGAATTCTCTTTTCGACAGTGAAGGAAACCTGCAGGATGAAGAGGAATGGTGCTTCCCTGCTCCTCCATCCAGAGCACATGGGAACTGCTTTTCAGAGAGCAAATATAAAGGAAGGGAAACATAATTAGCATTAAATGATGTTAATGAACAGAAGGCGGCTCATAACCTGCTTTTTCATAGTCAATGATACAGCCTGAACAAGCTGTTTCACTGCTGTAACACACACACGTACACACACACTCTGAATGGATTTGTGGTTAAATGGTACTTTAAACAGGAAAACAGCCTCATGCCTGTCTCCACCTCCACTTGCACATCCATGCAAACTCCAACTCTGATTTCTGTCAAAACAGATTGATAAATTTATGCGGAAACCCAATCAGTTATTGTAAAAGCTCTGACATAATTGCACTGAAGTTAAATCAGGCCTTTCTTTCCAGATGCATTTTGTAGGCCATCGTGTCTTGTGCTCAGTTCCATAATTAAAACTGGGATGAAGGAGTCCTCCAAAGTCTAACAGTACATGAGCCACCTTGTATTCCCTTTAAACCAGGATTTGGTCATGAACCTGAAGTCCAATAAACTCCTTTCACACTAGGAAATGTGAACGTGCCACGGCACACGGTACAGGCAGGAAAAGGGCTCCATGATTTACGCAAATCTCATATTCATTTTACTACCAAAAAGGGGCTTCTAACAGCTAATGCCTGGGAAGAAAGCAGCTTTAAATAACAGGTGTGAATTGCTTAAAAAACAAATCCTGTTTCAATGTGCAACTTACGGAAGTAATTTACTCGGGATTTTTTCCTTCTCAAAAAGGATGAAAAATGCTTTTTCTTTAAAATCATTTACTGGGAGCTTTGCCACTGCAGGAGGTTCTCACTGACCTGCAGCTGGGGTAACCCAGCTCTCTTCCCAATGATTTACACCAACAAACAGGATCAGCACCTTTTCTAAAGCTCCTACTGTGCAAGGACCAGCACATGGATACAGCGTAGGCTTCCCAGTCATTCCCAGGCCTGCTCCTATGCCCCAGGGAAGGCTGGGCACACCTATGCCCCCCCCATTCCCCCCCATCTCATAACTCTGAAAGTCATGGAATTATAGAACAGTTTTGGTTGGAAGGGACCTTTAGACATGATCTAGTCAATGCCCTGCCATGGGTAGGGATACCTTCCACTATCCCAGGTTGCTCCAAGCCCCGTCCAACCTGGCCTTGAACACCTCCAGGGATGGGGCAGCCACAGCTTCTCTGGGAAACCTGTGCCAGGGCCTCACCACTCTCCTTGTAAAAAAGTTCTTCCTTTTATCTACTCTAAGCCAACCCTCTCTTACTTCGAAACCATTTCCCTTTGCCTATAGCAACAGGTCCTATTTGTCACACTCCTATTTCCACTGAGCCTTCCGTTAAAACAGACAGAGGTCAGTGCTTTGGATGATCTCCATTCCCATTTTTCTGTCCATAAAGGTTAACCACTTCAACATGGACAGGAGGGTGAGCCTCCTCCTGCTCACCCAGCTGAGCCCTGCCACGGTCCTGGCTGCCCTCCACATTCATCCTCAACCACCAAAGAGAGACAGGATCTAGATCAAAACTGGTGTAAATCTCTGCAAGATAATACCATCTTACAGTAAAACCATCTTCCTGCCAAGAAGTCATGATTACTCTGCTTGGTGCAGTCACACAGGCTGCTTGAAAACATAAATACGCCGTGCAAAAACATACCTTCCTTTGGGAAAAGGGACAAAACTGTCCTTCAGTGCAGCACATGGGAACCCTGTGATACACTAAATAAACTGTAATTAACACCATCATGCTCTTTGCTTCTATACAAGTTAAGGGAAAAGTAATGAAATTCAAGCTCCTTAGACAATCAGTTTCTATCTTCTTGTCAGGACAACCCTCCAAAGGACTAGTAATTACAAGGAATACATTTACCAATTTTCAGTCAATATATTTTCATTTTTATTACTTAGAATTTTAAAGTAAACCCCTCAGCTTCTCACAGGGAAAGTGAGAAAGAATGCTGGGCAGCCTCAGCAATGGCAACACCACTGCATCCTTCCAAACGCCAGGCCTGGGAGCCAGGGGACACCTTGGCACAGGGAACGCTCCACGGAAAACACCACAGGAATTGCTCACTCTGACCCTGTCACACCGGGAAGTTCCAGCTCTGTAAACTAATAGGGAAGGCTGTGGTATAGTTGAATTTTGAAGGGAAGCATTGGAGAGCCAGCCATCAAAATGAAATCCACCTTTACACTCAAAATGTCATGTTTTAGCAGTGTGACATTAACACTGTTGTCTCTCCAAGAGTACTTTACTCATAAATCCCAATTACCTTAATTCTCAACAAATTGTTTTATACAGTATCATATTTAAGCAAAGAGATGCTCCCCACAATTATTTTAAAGACTTTTCTCTAGAAAATTAATTGTTACTTTCAATCAGATTAGCTGAACCTGAGAGCCATTTAAAGCCTTCATCAGAGCTACTGCGTGGTCTTTCTTCTCAGATTACAAGGATATATAATTTATACATCCTTTTAATTCAGTTTATCCATATTGCTAATATTCACACCTGTACAAAACATTTCATGCACACACATTTATTAATTTAACTGTTACCAGACAATGTTTCCTCTAATCTAGCACTTCTTTTTTTTTTTTAAGAAAATAAATATAACTGGCAAATCCCAAGGCCATTGGAACAGATCTCCTGAGTTAAGTTTGGCCTGGTCCTGCCCTCAGGGTTGTTCCCAGGGCAGAGCTGAAAGCGAAAGTGAGACCAAGCCCATTGGAAACCTGAGCCCCTGCCCTAAATCACCATCAATTCATCCCTTCTAAAAAGGCCTTCACAAATTCCAAGTTTCCACAGGAATATATTCTTTCTCTTCCCGGCCTTTACAGACAACTGCGTAGAAGTCTCTTTAGAGGCCAATGCCATTTCCATTCCCCACGGAACACAGCTGCTCTCCTTGCTCTGTTCTGAAAGCCAAAAGTAACTGAACTCCCTTGGCCGAACTCCACCAGGCTGGGAAGTTTAAAACCCCCAGTCACTACGGTGACCCAGATTTGTAATGCCAAATCTCCATATTCCAACGGCAAAATGAAGTTTTCTAAGATCTTGGCCACTTTCTTACCCCTTGAAAGAGCGTTCATTTCAAGGGACAATTCTGTTACCTAAGAGTTTTCCTGCAGTTCAGTCTGGCCTGTGTGGGGAAAAGAATTCTGCTTTCTCCCCTCTGCATTCACAGAACTGAGGGCTGTTCACGCTCACCCTTGAAGTTTTCAGGGATGTTACAGACTTGTTCTGTTTTTAGACTGAGACCTCATGTATCATTCCAGAGTTTACTAAATCTCCCTTTTCTGCCCCAAGATCACATTTACAGTCGCACAGCTCTTGCTTTTCCATGAAGCTTTTCCCTGTGTAAGGGAGAGTCTGGTCCCCAGGAGCTGGGGGAGGCACTTTCCTCATTCCAAGCTTCCTGGGCTCTACCAGGTACTAATATTTTACTTTATTATCATCTATTTTGGCTGGTGAAAACCAGAGCAGCCAAGGATAGAGCAGTGCCTGTGTGGAGACCCCAGAAGACCCCAAGCAAAGTCAATGTTCCCATCCAGCTCCACTCCTCCTGCTGAGCCTGGGGAAGCACCAGCACACTCAGGAAAGGTTCTTGGAATTGCTTTCTCACAGTGAAATTTTAAGTATGGAACTGCACTGACCCTGGGAACACAGACTCCAGGCTCTTTCCCTTTGGAATGGGAGAAGTTCATCATCTTTGCCATCAGTCAAATTTTAATATTCCCCGTTGCTGTGATGAACATCAGAACGTACTGCAAGCACAGACATAAAAGTAAAAACAAAATACACTCCTGCCCCCAAAAAAGCCCCAAATAAAAGAGCCAAAGCTATCCATTTGACCACCTTAAAAGTACTAAAGAAGCAACAAGTTAAAAAATAAAATAAAAAGAAGAAATGTATCAACACACTCTTGCAAACTGATGGATTTTTCCTCTTTAAGCAGCTACTGAAATGCATTCAGTGAACAGTGTGAAGTGGGAGATGAGAAGCCACCACCCAGGTGTGCCCACGCAGACACACGCACATGACCCAGAAGCACAGAGAGAAACAGGATTAGAGATTTATTTCTGAAAAAATCAAATACAGAAGTGAGTTCACAAGGCAAAAATAAAACCTGGTTCCCCATATTTGTCTTAACATTTCATAAAAAGTAAAGCACGTGTTAATTTAGATGATGAGAAATCCTAATGAGCCATTAACCATTAACTTCTACTCCCATTCCTCTCTCTATTTGATAAATAGAGAGACAAACAGAAGCAGGTGAAGTGTACAGACTGAAATCCTCACATAAAATCCTGCAAAAAACCATTCACATTTAGGGTGCGCCCACTCCGCTCCGCCTTTCTTTTTAAATACATTTTCACTGCTATTTTATAAATGGAATTGTGTGGCCTTTCGGGAATTTCACTTAAAGAACACAAATGAGCTCATCAGTGCTGAGTTTAATTGCTGCAGGGAAGTTTAGCTTTATCTTCTAAATAAAGATTAACAAGTCTAATGAGATCTTAGCACAGAATTATGGAATGGTTTGGGTTGGAAGGAACTTTAAAGAGATCCAGTTCCACCCCCCCGCCATGGGCAGGGTCACCTTCCACTAGACCAGGTTGCTCCCCATCCAACCTGGTCTTGGACACTTCTAGGGATGGGGCAGCCACAGCTTTGAGGGGAAAGAAGAACTTATGCTGGGCTAGGACACGGCAAGGACAGCAGAGAAGGGAGGGGGTTTCTGTGAGAACCCGAACAGAACATTGGCCAGGGCACGAGAGGACTTTTATTAGTTTGGATTTACATATGGAGATAGAACTTTTTTTCTTAAAACAAAACAAAACAAAAAAAAAAGCAGATACCAACCCATTTCCTGCTTTTGAGTTGCCTTTGCTGTCCGTGCTGAGCTGAGAAAGGACATAGTGAGGCGCTTTGGCACTGTCGGCATCAAAGATATCCATGTTGGACTCTTCACAATCTCGGCGTTTGATCCCTGGCCTCTGCTTTGGGTTGCGTTTGCGCGATTTACGTGGCACCTCAGTGTTATCATTGTAGGAACTGGTACTCATGTTACTGAAGTTGGAGGGTGAATCCTCCATCCACATACTGCAGCTCTGTTCTGACTCCAGCGCACAGCCCTCATCCTGGCAGGACATCCGACTGTTGTCCAGCAGGTCCTCGGGTGGTGGCGAGATGTACAGGACTGTGTGGCGCCGCGGCGTTGACTGGTGCTGCTGGGCTGTGTTACTGGTTATCTGCTGGTCACTTACCCCTCGGGTACTTACCCCCACGGCTGAGGAGCAGCTCTCCACTTGCATAGCCTTGCTGTCGGTGACTGAGGTAGAGTAAATGGTAGGACTGGAAGAGGTGGTAAAGGAGCTGCAAGCACCGCCCATGGAGGAAGAGGAAGGAGCTGAAGAAGCATCTGCGGTGTACAATTCACAAGTAAATACCGGAGCCGCGGCGGGGGCTGTGCTGGCTATAGCAGTCCCAGAGAAATCAAGGTGATTTAGGAACCGATTGCTTTCCCCCAAGAAATGTTTGGAATTTGGTTACGTTTTAGAATGGAAGTGCTTAAAGCAACACAGCCTAGCCAATACTTTGGAAATGTCCAAACGAGTCTTAGCACGATCCACTGTAATCAAATTTTTATGACTTAATGTTAATTCATACAAATGGCTGCGAGTAAACAGAGCTTTCATCGCCTCAGCTGGACTAATTATTGGTGTAGAAGCCATTTCATCTAAAATAGCCCCAAAGCAAAATGCTTATAAATCCACATTCAATGCCAATTAAACCGTTTATTGTTGGAAATTTTTAATTTTTTTTTTGAAAAAGACGGGACTGTGCTTAGCCACAAAATATTAAAATAAGTTTCTAACCTATGAAGCAGAGAACTACAGGTCATTTTTAATGCAGACACTCCCTGCTTCAGAGGCAAATCCTGGAATAAAAATATGAGAAAATAAATGAGAAAAAGAGCTGCTGATTATTCCATCATAAATGAGAAATAAAATATAAAATCAACTGAGTTGGTAGGCAAAATGGAACTGGTATCAGTCACTATGAGTGAGCTGTGGATTGTGAAGGTTCAAAACAGGGCTGAAACATCTGTGTTGGTGACACACTGATCCAAGGACAGGGAATTTCTGTAATTTGACTTTTCCAGTCACTGAGACTGATTTCTCTCAGACTTTACAGTCCCATACACAGAGACAGCTTGGGACAGACCTCTGAAAAATTCCTATTAAGCAGGAGATTTCCAACACCGTGTGAAGTCTCCAGAGGTCTCACAGCTCAATCTGGTTTAGAAATTATTAAAACAAACCCCTGAAGATTTCTGGAGAACACCATAACTGCTGCCAAGGAAGAATTTTAATGGACAAATCAGCTGAATACATGGGTTAAACATTCCAGAGGAAGCAGGATGGGCAAATGTAGGGCTTTATTTATTTATTTATTTATTTCAATCACCTGTAGCTCACTGAGGAATAACTGAACTGAACTTTATAGTCAGATTGCAGCTTCTTGGGGGAAGATCATCCTGGTTTATGTATTTCTGCACTGCTGCCCACACCTGATAAACCAGAACCACTGAAATAACCTAATTTTGGAACACATTGTACATTAAATGTATACATAATTATACAATGTGTTTGTTCAGCTAGTTACTGCTGTCAGGCAGGTAATCCCTATCATTAAGAAGAATATGATGTTTTCCTTTTTGCTGCGTGGGATTTTTTTAAAATCCAAAATATTATGTTAAACTCCCAAGTCTAAAAGGTTTAGGGACAGTCAGACTATTTTATCCCATTTTACCTAGTTAAAAGTAGCAGAATAAAGTATTTTCAGCCACGATATATATTTAGTTAACAGTAAAACTCAGCCAACCTTACCATAAATCCACCTACTTGGAATGACTGGTGGTATCAATGACTGATGATAAAGAATTTTTAAACTGTTTTTTTTACAGCTTTTCTGTGCTAAACGAATGTAAAAGCAAAGCTACATCACTTCAGACTAAAATTTAGTGGCCATTACAGTTTATCGATAAACTATTCTGCTTTTATCACCTTCCCCAAACCTCTCAATGAACCAGGAGCAGCTGAATGATACCAGTTCCATTTCCCAGTTTGTTCTTTGGCAAATACAGTGGCTGAAACTGGACAATTCAGTCACTTTGCATTCCAATTTAAAGGCAAATTTCTCCTTTCTATATCATGCATTAATGCAATGCTTCTTTCAAAAACAGTTATAGGATTGGCAAGAACTATTAAATCTAGATATTCATTTCAGTGACAATATTTAGGAGCTGATTTGCAGCCACTTTGAGTTGAGAAAGCCCGTTGCTATTGGGGATGTTTGTTTTGGTAAATTGAATTAGTTTCCATTCATCATTGACACCCTCAAAGAGAACCAGAACATGTTCTGCATGGAACAGGCACAGCAAGCACTGAGCTCACCCCGCTCAGCAAGTGCTTCAATGCATCTCCTGGCCAGGATTGCACTTTTCCCTCACTTTCCTAGGGAAAAAAATAAATACATCACTAAATAAAACGCTTTTGAGCACAAAGCTAAAAGAGCTCGTGATGGCAGTGCTGTTTTAGGGTGCAGCACTGTGCAATACTGAAGGTGTTACCATTCACTACCCCTCTCCAAAACAGTTTCTCTGCCTTTTTTTTTCCCTAGAAGCTAAGAAGAATTTATATGTATGAATATGTGTATGTGGGGTTTTATACTTTTTAAAATTAAATAAACATTGTCCATTATAAACTGGTTATACTCTCCTCCATTTACCAGAGACACCCCTCTGGAATGACAAAATTAGATTATGGAAATAATCCCAAATTAAGCAGTAATGGCAAGAAAACCTCTCTTTAGCCTTATATAATAAAGTACTGCCATTACCAGCCATAAATATGCAAGTGTTTTAAAGAATGTAAAGGCCACTGTATCCTCAGTTAAAATAAGTAAACATATATAAGAAAGTATGATAAATATTATAGCAAATGGAATAAACTGGCTGTATTGGAACAGTCAAAGACACAAATTTAAAATCTGTTTGGGGGGATAAATTAGTAATTGCTTCAGTAACATTTTAAGTTATGCAAATACTAAGAAACATAACGAAATCTATGTTTTCTCAGTCTGCAGGCCTTGAGCCAACTCATCTTCCTTTGAACTAATAAATAAATTGGGTCAATCAAATAAGAATTCACCAAGTTACTGTAATGAATTAACTGTATTTTACATGGCTCCCATTTCGTTTTCTCATTTTATTCCAAAGCCAGGGACATTTGTATCTGACACCCAATGGAGATTTCTTGGGGGAAAAAAAAAAATCTCTCAGTTATTCTAACTTAGCTGGTGCTGCTTTAAAAGGTGAGAGCATACACACACACCTTTGCCACATACTTTGAGCGCTCCTGTTATTTTACTTTCTTTAGACGCATTAATGGGAATTGTTACAGGTGGCTCTTTTATTTGCAATTTAACAGTGCGTGCAATGACAAAGATATATATGGTTTTTAGATGAGTAGGTACATTTTGCAATAGAAGATTGAATATATTTAATTTAACACAGCCTCAAAATCAAACTTGCTTTCAGAGCAACAACACTGAAGAGAAGCCAAGTGCTTGTCATGGCAAATGTGCAGCCTCAGGATTAGAAATGGAATGTTCACCAGCATCACAAAGTGGGTATTTTCCTTTTTTCAATAAAAAATGAGAGAAAGGAATATTTCACATTAGAGCAACTGTGATCACTGTTGAAACTAAACCTCCCGAATCTCTTTGTTGCCATCGCTATAACACGTAAAGGAACTGAAATAAGTAATTCAGATTTTGTTGCCTGTCCTACAAGCTTTTTCTCCCTAAAAGAGGCAGAATATCAGGCCTAAAACTAAGGGAACACATAGTAAAGAGGTTTGCTCCCTGTGAGGAAACCAGGGCAGGCTTTTTCCTTCCAGTACCATAAAACAAAAATTTTTTACCTCCTGCATTAGCAACTAAGGCAATGACAGATTTTCCATATCCTACTCTCTTGTGAAGACAAACAAGGCATTCAGCCTCTAAGAAAAAGGTCTGAAAGGCAGGAGAGAAAAAAAAAATCACTACTTGGCACTGAGAGAGTCTTTTTAGGTAACATTTCTGTGGAGCCAATCATGAAATTCTTGTTCATTCTTTTCAAATATCCTTAAATACAACAAGGATTATCAAGTCCTCAAAAAGAAACAAACAGTGTCCTGACGAACTTTTTTTTTTTTAATTGCAAAAGTAAGTAATTTCCCAGGCTGGAGAGTTTAAAATTGCAAAGGCAAATAAACTGGAGATATTTCTGGTTTCACAGGTTTTTCAGCCACCTGTGCTTGGACAGCCAGGACAAGCAAAAAGCCATTAAAGAACTAATTTTTCTCTCAGGGCCTCCCCTGCATCCCACGTAATCCCCTACACTCTGTGCAGAAAACAAGTGTCCAAACTGAAAACTCACCCCAGGGTGAGAATTAGGTGGTGTATAAGTTTAATATGTGAAGTACAACTTTTAATAAATGTATTAATTTATCCAACACGTCATTTTCTTGATGAGATTTTGTATGTTAATTGGTTTATTTGAACCCCTAGATACAGAAGAACAATTTCAGGGCAAACCCAGAAGGAAACTGTGCAAAATTTCCACCATCAACCCTTCTGTTGTCAAAGGTTTTAAAGGTAAAACCCAGAACTTACAAAGTGGCTGCAAACCTGCTTTCAACACCTCACATGCCAAACTTGGGGTTCTACTTTTCTTCTTCTTGTATTACTGATGTCATGTCAAAAACTTTTTCCAAAAACTTTAGTTTCAAATCAGTATCAATCCACTATTCAGAAATAAAACAAAAAAAAATTAAAAATAATAAAAAAAAATAAAAAAAAGAAAGAAAGAAAAGAGACTTATGAAGAAGTCTGAAAACAAGACCGACCTATACCCTGGGTGAGATTGGATGGGTTAAGTGTCTCTGGCACTATTTGTCTTCACTATTGACAGACACTGTCACACAACCCACCACTCGATGCCTGTCTCTGAATGGCGAAGCTAGAATGCAAGTTAAGTGTATTAATAGAGAAAAAAACTAGCATCCCAGCAAATATCATAAAGCAATCCAATTCACCAGTTATTAAACACACTCAGATTCAAGATAGGTAGGTTAATTTAATTTACATTAAGCCCCACAGTGTAAATTCCCCTTTACATTCCCATGCTGACCCAAGCAGTGTATTTATTATACTTTGGGTAAATACATTAATCAATGGTTTTGTTATAAATTACTCCCATTATTCAATTAACACTCAAGTTTAGGTATCTAAGTAGAACTTTTGTTAGTGGCTCACACACACCAATTCCACGGATCTTAGATCCTTCCCACTCAAAGCTAAAAGGCTGATTCCAAGCAGGCAGAACTCTGGGAATCTCAGCTGCTCTCCAAGCTCTACCTGTCACTCATCAGCTCTCTCCCCAGCTGTATCCTGTATGAGGAAGTCAGGATTGATGGATCTGGCAAAGAACCTCAATTTAAGAGACAGACTATTTTATCTTTTAAATACAGAGTGGGGTTTTTTTCCTAAGAAATTCAGAACTCCTCATGGTGTTCACAACACCTTCAGTACTGCTACAGCACAGAGGTGCCCAAATAGGACTGTTCTTGACCCTCACAGTCTTGGTTTTCAACTATTCCTTAAGGAACAGGGAATTCTCTTGTCAGGAAGTAGTTCTCAAGTCTTTCTGACCTAATAACAGGAGCCATTTAATGCAAGAAATTGTAAAAAAATCTCTTGGAATAATGTAACAACTTGTGTTTGATTGAGCAGTTCTGGAAAATTGGGTTTACTGACTATTTGAAATGCAGGAAGACTGAAAATTATCTTAATTTAGGAAGAAGATATGAACTAGACATGTACACTGATACAATCCTTTATATGGAATTCTAAGGAAGCTTGTGGAGTAGGAATGCACTTAACACACAGACAACTCCACACTACTAGAACATTCTAACTGAATTGCAGATAACATGTCTAAAGAGTTTCCACAAAATGGAAACGGAAAGCAAAACTTTTTCTTTGGCATTTCCCAGCTATGACTTGTCACCAGGAGACCCTTTAGCATGATGAAGGAACCTTTCCACTCCCCTGAGCTGAACCTAATCGCAGCCCAACCTCTCCTGACATGGTCCTTCCAGAAGAAACACTTAAAGCAATGCACAGCACCAGGAAGATGAGCTTTTAACAAGCATTAAGGTCTGGTTGAAATTCATTCTGTAAGAGAGAAGTGTCTGACCCATGGCTGAAGCCGCAGACAGAAATCCCTGGAAGACATCCTCCTAGGAAATGACAGGAAGGCATTTCCAACTGGGAGGGCAGTAGGAAGAGGAAGAGAAAAGCCTACAAAGAAATGGAAGTTTTTACAGGCATTGGAGACCAACTACAAAGAATATTTTTTTCTGCTCATTTGTTTACAACGAGCAATCACAAGGCCAGGATAACAGAACTGGTACCAGCACTGAGATCCCCTTTGAAATCTCTGGTCATTATCTCTGCATCAACAGGAAAAACTGACTAATGACACCAGGAAGGATGATAAATGGACAAAATATTTTCATTAAAAATAAAAATGAAGAAGCCTGGCTCTAGCCACTCAGGGAAAACCAAACCAAAACAAACCCATCTCCATTTTGAGGTTTTATTAGAATCTTTAGTTTGAGAATGTTGAAAAAGCCTTATTTTGGCAGCAGAAAACATGAGCCTTTAGCACCCAGTGTCCACCCCAGAGATGATTCAGGTAACCTTATCCATATCTCTACAGTAGTAATTGAGAAGTAAAGCCTTATTTTCATAATTAAAATAACAAAAAATGCTAATGGCAATACTGCAGTAACAACTCTGATCAAAAAAGCCAATTACATCTGTTTGGGACAAGCAGATTGTCCCTTTAATTAAGAAGCAGCATAAAAAAAAGGAATGGAATTGATGAAAAAAAGGCAAAGCTTTATCATTTACCTAATATTCTCCAAGGATACAACCACGGATGTTTGGGAGCCAGAAAACCTCACTACATCACAGATTAACTGTACCCCGATGTGGAGAATGAAAAACAAAAAAAAAAAAAAGAAAAAGAGATCAGTAAATACATTACACTTCAGTGGCATAAAATCTGTTCCCCTTTTGCTACAGCAAGAACACCACTCTGGAGAAAACCACTGGAGATTAGGAACTGGAAACTAAAGAGCAATATAAAAAATATGGAAATATATACATATTTGCCTCTGTGGGAAATGAAGAGCAGTTTGAGAGATCAACAAGCTGAAGCAGCTTATTCCAAGATTTGCTGCAGGAAGAACAAGGGATGAGGAGCAGGAAGGGAGTTTCTGTAACAGTTCATTGAGGTTCAGAAGGTTTGAGCATTCCTGGTACTGGAGATAAAAGATGGAAAAGCAACACTTGTTTAAAGAATGTGGTCAAAAATACTCCTGATCATCCCAAAACACAAGAATCAGGTGTTACCTACCAGTCCTTTGAGAAAGGACTTAAATTAGCAGAGTGAATTTTAAGCATTTGGAGGTTCAATTTGTCTTGATCAACACCCAAAAATTGTTCAACCTTTCAGAACCAACTGAAGAGACTCAAACATCCCTCCTTGCAAATGGAGCTCACACTCTGCAGAAGCATGAGGAAAGCATCAGGCACATTTATTTCATGTAAGAGATCTCCAGGCACAGCTTACAATGACATTTCTCAGCATGACACCCTCATGCAATTCAAGAGTCTGGAAGATGATTCATATTTAATGTGTTTATGCCGCTGCACCAGGCAAAATCCTTCTTTTCCTGTCCCCTGAACAAAGACACTTGTAATTCAAGTAGTGAGCACAGAGAACGGTTTCCAGAGGTAAAAGCAGATCCTTTCCCTCCCTTCTGCTTTCCAGAAGAACGACAGAATTAAAAGCTTGAGACAGCAGCTCAAAATCCCAGAGTTCTAAGAAATTACATTTGCCTGTTTGATATTCAGAGAGTGGGTAACACCTCTTTTGTCTGGATTAATGAATAGGAGATATACATCTATTAACAAATTAATGAAAATCCAATCAGCAACATTCCATTTTCATACTCTTACAACTGTTCTGTAAATCACAAAACAAATTTCCAAATGGAAGAAGAACCAGAAGTCTGTCCCTGCGAGGTCATCACTGCTAAAAGCAGCCCATCCTGCTCCTCCAAAAAAACCAGGACTTAACTGCAGCAGTATTTCTCATCTATAATGCAGTTTATATGGCAAAAACCCCAAAGCAAGGTGACAGAAAAGCCTCGAGTAAGCTGAATTTCAGCCAGATATTGCCTTACTCTGTGTTTTGGGAAGCAGAGAACAAACTGTGTTAACTACTACAGGAATAGTAAAAAGCTCTCACCACTTTGGATCATTCTCTGTCACAGAATTCTCTCATTATCCAGAGTAATCATATCTGGAAATGATTTCTACACACACTGCAGCCTGCAGTTCCAATTAGCCTTTTCTTTCTTTTCTTTTAAAAATGACTAAATGAGATTACCTACAACACTGTGGAGACTGAACTATCATTTCCCTCTCATTTCCCAAAAAAGGAGGTCTTAGAGCAAATTAAGAGCTGACATAAAAATTAAAACCAGAAAGACTTACACAAGACAAGGGAAATATTTCAGATACAGAACACCAGGTTGCCAAAGTCCTTCCTCCTCACCCTGTTCCTTTACAGTGTCAGCTCCTCAAAAATTTGCCTACAGTCTAAAAGTAAGCACTTGGTGTATGCAAATGAATAGTCACTCTTAAAATATGAATGTAAAATATATATTTGTTTCCCTGTATAATCACTAGGCATGCACAAAGCCTGGGCTGATTTTCCTTTTAAGAAATCAGAGCCCAGCCCAGCCAGACCTCTTGTTACTACTCGAGACATGGTGACAGGGCTTGAAAAAGTGGTGGCAACTTTTCAAAGACACTGAAGAAATCCTAAAACAATAAAGAAAACAGGGAAACACCCTTTTATCTACAAACATGGTACAGCTACAGCAAGAACACAGCACAAACACTGCCACATTCAACGTGCCCTTGCTTAGTGGGCAGTGTCATCAGCACTGAAAACAGAACTGGTCTTTGCTCTGTCTGGGGTTTTGTCAGGTTGGCTGGAGGTTCTAATCACAATTTTAACAATTTGGAGAAGTGTAGTTGCTTGTGCTTAATGCTTCTGATCCAGATTTTAATGCACCCAGGAACTTCACTGGCTCCAAAGTCTCTCCCCAGCTCTCTTGGAGCCCCTTTAGGCACTGCAAGGGGCTCTAAGGTCTCCCTGGAGCCTTCTCTTCTTCAGGCTGAACATCCCCACCTCTCACTTTGGCATCAGCTCAGTCTTTGTGAACCAACATAGTCTCTGACACTGAAAAGTGCTTGTAGGAGAACAAGCAGGTCTCCTTTCAGGGTTAACAAAACACCTCAACACTAATCTTTGCATTTTTTTGTTCTTGTGCTGCAGTTTAACCCAAACACACCTGTCTTTCTTAATTTTTTTAAAGGGGCTGGACTGGCTGTTAGCAGACACTAAATACCTGGAGGTAACAGACATTTAGTTCCATTCAAGTTTTTAAGTCTTTTCTGTTAGATACAGAATTAATTAGCAGTTCAGGTCTGTCTGTGGATTTATAGTGTAACAGGGTTTGTGGGGTTTTGTCTTCACTTGTTTTTTAGATGATTCTACAAGATTTGGTTGCTGCTGTCTGCGAACCAAACCCATCATTAAGCATCTTGGTTTTAGAAATACATGCCCAAATTACTTTTTTAATAAGTGATATAAAACCATCAAATCCTTTCAATATAATAAACCATGAAATTCTTTCAATGACCAAGTTCCACTGTGCACAGTTAAATC